GAGCCACGGGACGAGAACCCACGGAGTCCCTCGACTCCCAGCCCCCCCCCCCCCGCCTCTATCCACTAGACCCGACTCCCCTCCCAGAGCCAGGGAGAGAACCCAGGAATCCTGGCCCTCACCCCAGCCCCAGGCCTGGCCTTACCTTGAAGAACCGCTGCTCCCTGTTGAAGTCTCTTCTCTGGGCTGAAAGAAACAAACCAGCGTTGGCACCGGTGGCTGACGCTCAACACAACAGGTAGCGGCACCAGGGCAGGTGGGGCCGAGACAGGTCAGTCTCCCGGAGATGCAGCCACCTCTGGGGTGGGGTAACGGGCACAGAGACCCACGGGGACGGCTCGCCCAGCACTGAGATGCAGCCGCCTCTGGGGCGTAGTCCGGACAGGACACCTGGGTTCACAGCCTGACTCCTTCTAGGAGGGGCTAGGGAGCTGGGCAAAGCAGCAGCCCCCCCCCCAAGCAGGACGGGGTTTAGCCATCGGCCCCACCCTGCTCACCCACCTCGGCAGTCCGGGCACAGCCAGCGGCAGCGTCTCTGGCTGGGCAGCGTCACCCCGGGGAAGTAGTTCTGGCAGCTGGCGCAGCACCTGGAAGGCAGAGGTGGGCTGCTGAGGTCCCACGTCTGGGGCCCCCCGGGTTGGTGATGAGCTCAAAGGCACCCCCAGGGGGGCAGGGACCCCCGCTAGGCCTGGACGGAGGGACAAGGGCCTGCCAGGCAGTTCCGGTGCCGGGGAGGGATCGTGGCACGGGAGACGGACCAGGGACACTGGGACGTCTCCGTGGACGAATAGAACCCAGGAGTCCTGGCTCACAGCCCCAGCCCGCTCCAAACACTAGACCCCACTGCCCTCCCAGAGCCGGGGAAAGAACCCAGGCGTCCGGCTGGGCTCTCTGCACCTCCCCGTAGCATTTGCATTGTTACCCGGAGGGCTCAGGGGACGGGGCACCCCAGGGGGGCTGGGGGAAACTCACGCCACTACGGCATCCTGCGCCGATTCCTGGGCTTCCAGCAGGGCCGCCGGGCGCTTCCGGGGGCGTCGCTCCGGGAGGGGCGGAGGCCGCTGCTCCGGGGGCGGCTGCTCCGGGGGCTCCAGCTTCACGGGTTGCTGTTTGGGGGGCGGCTGCTCAGGGGAGTTTGGGGGGTCTGGCTCCGACAGCGAGAGGCGCCTCTTCTGAGCCTTCTTCACCTGCACGGGGCGCAAGGCGAGCGGGGCTGGAGGTGGGGTCCCAGCCCCCTGCAACATGGGGTGGGGAGGTCAGCCAGGTCTTCCCCAACAAGCCCCGTGTGATGCCCCCCTCCACCTGCCATTCCTGACCCAATCATGCATTATGTGCTGGACCCCTCCCCTCCCAGAGCCAGGGAGAGAACCCAGGAGTCCTGGCGCCCAGCCCCCGGGAAGCGCTTTCACTAGCAGGAATGGCGGCCGCGCCGGCATGGACCCCCACGTTCCCAGCAGGCTGGGAGCGTGGCCTCTGCCCGGCTGGCCCAAGGGCGGCCACTTGCACAATCAGCGGCTTGCGACATGCGAGCCGACCGCACCAGCATGAAAGGCCCGGTTACCGTGGCCGCTTTGGAGGGAGTTCTGGCGCACGGAGCCAACTGCGCGGCCGGAGCCGATCGACCGGGACATGTGGGTGTCACACGTGGCTCATGGAACCCTAATTACGGCTCCCTCCCGGAACACGCCGCTGGAGGGAGACGTCATGAACCCTGGCCACAGGCGGGAGGGAAAACGGGTCTAAAAGAGGCGTTGCCGGACTCCACCCAGCACATGGGAACAGGTGGGGTGAGGTTTGTGCTGCACCCGCCCCCTGGCTTGGCTTTCGTGGGCTCCAGGCGCCAGGGACTGCGAGACTAGTGTGCGGGGCGGGTTTGGGTGCCACCGCAGCCCCGCTCAGGGTTTCCAATCAATCCTTCGCCTCCATTTCCGGGTCTGAGAGTTGCCGCCCGCACGAATTCCCCGGAGCCGCCTGCGTCCAGGGCCTGAGTCTCACCCGGACGGAGCGAAGGCGACCGGAGTTTCTGCCAGAGCCCCGGGCACGGCGAAAATCACCAACCAGAGTCGGCTGGGAGCCGCGGCAAGAACGGCCGCCCTCAGCACCGGCTATTCACCAGCTCAGCGCATTCCCAAGGAGCAGGAACACACAGGCCCTCGGAAGAGGACGCGGGAGCAACAGGATCACGGATGGGGAGGTCGTGTTCCAACTAAGAACCGCTTGTTTTGGGCATCGCTTTATAAAGGGGAGGCGGCCCCGGGTCAGCCGAGGGGGCACCCGGCCGAGTTTTCGGCACCGTGCCCGTGGTCAGGCCTGCCGCGGGGATTCTGACCTTGGGAGGCGGGTCGCGGAGCACGCCGTTCTTGAAGTCGAAGTTGGTCAGGTCCTGCGAGGGCCCCAGGAACCTGGTGAGCTCAATCTTGCTGCGGAATTTCTCGCCGTTGGGGCTGCGGGAGGGGAGGCAGAGACAGAGCCGGCGTCAGAGAGCACCCCAGCCTGGCCTGGGGGGCTGGGAATACCCCACACACACACACCCCGCCCAGGGAAGTGATGCACCTGCCTGGAGCCAAAGGGAGCCGGGAGAACAGGCTCGCTCGCAAACGACGTGGGAAGGCCACGTTTTTCCATGCAGCGCAAAATTAGCCTGTGGAACTTACAGTCACAAGGTAACAATCCACAGGGACACTGGCAGAGATTAAATAACAGCACCCGAGACCCAATCTCAACTCTGCTTTAGCTACAGGGCAGGAGGGAGACGCTGCCCCCTACGGGAAGGGCAGGGCTCAGACAGGAGACTGGGAATTCTCTTTTAATGGGAAACAGGCAGGAGGTTAAAGGGGGTTGGGCGGTCGGGCACGGGGGACACATGGCTACTGAATCCGACTCCCCCGTCACAGCGAAAGAGCAGGCCAGGGTGCGGGTCCGAGGGAGCTACAAAAACCCATTCAGAGGATCGCCCCCTGGATAGTCGTCCCCTGCAGAGATCTGGGGGGGGGCCAGACTCCCGAGGAGACGCCCATGAACCGGGGGTCGTTAAGAGGGAAGCGCCGGCCGACGGAAGGAAACAGCGGCCGGCAAGCGGTTACAGCTGCCCCACGCGGGGCAAAACGTGCCCCCTACGCTGCTAATTCGGCCTCCGAGACCAGGGCCGGCTCCAGGCACCAGCCCAGCAAGCAGGTGTTTGGGGCAGCACGTCCGGCTCTTCGGCAGCGGGTCCCTCACTCCCTCTCGGAGCGAAGGACCAGCTGCCGAATTGCCGCTGAAGCAGCAGCACCGCACATCGCGATCGCGGCTTTTTTTTTTTCCTCTTCTTTTTGCTACTTGGGGCAGCAAAAACCCTGGAGCCGGCCCTGTCCGAGACCCGGCTAAGATCTCAGCTGGTGGCTCGCACCCTCGTGGGAGTCCCTCGGGAACCGTCTCCTTCGCAGCCTGCACTGCTCCTCAGGCCGACGACGGGCCTTCGTCTCGCTAACTCGTCTCCCTCCCGACACATTGAGCGCGAGCAACCAGACCCCCCCTCTCCACCCGCTTGTGTTTCCCCTGGGAGCTGGACGCACGAGTCAAGAGGCCTGAATATTTCTCCATTGCGCCTGATCCGGCCTAGGCTCGCCCGTGCCCCCGACCGCTCCACCCAGCCCTGTCACCTTCGCCGTCACTCCCAGCTGAGCCGCGCCGGCTCAGAGCAGAAAATCTCGTTCCTCTCCCCACTGGCTGCACGGCCTTGCACTTTGGACTAGTCAATTTATAACCCGGCTTGGCCACGCCTCAGCTCCCAGCCCCTGCTTCTCGGCAGAGCCGGGATGATTTCGCCTCCGGGCTGGCAGGGAATGGAAGCGGCTCCAGCGGGGATTTCCTGGAGGCGCCGTGCGGCCGCAGAGCCGGCCCAAGCCACAGGGAAACCGGCCCGGCGAGGGCCCCGGCTGGGCTGCCCTGGAAGGCTCCAGCCAGCTGAGCGCCTCGCGGGTGCCAGGGGCGGGCGGCGGAGAGATGCCAGGCAGCGCGCTGGGACGGGGACGGCACTGAGCGGAGGGGTTTAGGGCTGTTTAGATTAGACACGCTGTGGGGATACAGGGAGCCCCCCCAGTTTCTAGACACTACTGCAACCTGGCTCCTAATGCAACCCATGAGCAGCCCCAGAGGGGCGGGGAGAGGAGACTCACTCGACCGGGGAGCAGCCAGGGGGCTACGCCGAGGCTCTGGTGGCTGGAGGCAGAACCACAGGCCGAGCGAAACGCCTCGAGCGCCAGCGGGGGAGGGGAAAGAGGGGGGACGGTTTCATTTCATAACATGCGGGTTTATAACTGAAAAAGCACACGCGCCAGCAACGGACTCGGGGGCTGGGAGGAAAGACACACACCCTGATCCACACGCAGGCCACAGGGGGAGAACTAAGGACAGAACCCAGGAGTCCTGGCTCCCAGCTCCCACTGCTCTAACCACCACACCCCACTCCCCTCCCAGAGCCAGCGAGAGAACCCAGGAGTCCTGGCTCCTAGCCCCCCGTGCTCTAACCACTAGACCCCACTCCCCTCCCAGAGCCGGGGAGAGAACCCAGGAGTCCTGACTCCCAGCCCCCCGTGCTCTAACCACTAGACCCCACTCCCCTCCCAGAGCCGGGGAGAGAACCCAGGAGTCCTGGCCCCCAGCAGAAGCCTCTCTTTCTAACCCAGCTGGCTTCAGAGTAGGTAAATAGACTCCATCCAGCAGAGCCGGTTTCCTGCGGGGGCGGGCGGAGGAGAGTTATCTCCAGCTGCAGACAGACGCACCCTGTCTTAGCAGGGGGCTGTACGGCTGGAGCAAGCAGCTCCTCTCCCACGGAGCACTAGGGGAGGCCGGGGTCAGGGCCAGCGCTCGTGTGTGACGAGGCTGGGACCGACTGGAGGCCCCTGAATCCCAGATGCCAGGCCGGGGGGGGTGGAGAGATCCAGGGAGCGGGAGGGCTGCAGGGGCAGCGCCTGAACCCCAGAGGAGCCCGGAGTTCTGGCTCTGACCCGCTGAGGCCAAGGCCCTCCCGTGCCTCAGTTTCCCCTCCCGTGCCGTGTCCACACCGGCTGTCACTGTGGCTCTGCAGAACACGATTCTCGCCCCGCCCCTCTGCCGTGGGGGCTGCCCAGCCCCGCCCCCTGCCCCCAAGGGAGAAGCAGTGTCCGTACCCCTGATAGTAGGTGTCCGTCCGTCCACAGGTGGCCCCGGATCGGCGGTAGGCCTCGCGGCGCTTCCATCCGGGCCCCAGGGTGGGGCAGTCCACCCAGCCCTCCGACATGGTGCTGAACTGGGGGAGCGGCTACTGTGGGGACAGAGACGGGGGGGTCAGCACGGCTGGATGGGGGGGGCGGGTTCCCCCCGGGGCTTGTGCCCCTCACCTGTCCGCCCAGGGCTCGGGCAGACAACGCTCTGCGTCCAGGAACAGCGTCAACATTCAGGCCATGCCTGTTCACGTGCACTAGCACCCTGCTCCGAGGGCTTGGCCTAGCTCTGACCACTAGCCCCCACTGCCCCCCCAGAGCCGGGGAGAGAACCCAGGGGTCCAGGCTCCCAGCCCCCCTTCTCTAACCCACCAGCCCCCACTCCCCTCCCAGAGCCGGGGAGAGAACCCAGGCGTCCTGGCTCCCAGCCCCCCTGCTCTAACCACTGGACCCCACTCCCCTCCCAGAGCCGGGGAGAGAACCCAGGCGTCCTGGCTCCCAGCCCCCCTGCTCTAACCACTGGACCCCACTCCCCTCCCAGAGCCGGGGAGAGAACCCAGGAGTCCTGGCTCCCCCCCCCCCTGCCCCC